TGATGGTGATCTTTGAAATTGAAAGAGGTAAAAGTGTGAAATATGAAATACGACCATCGTGCCAGGAAATACTAATGAGAATTTATACAATGTGAAAGATGTTGAGGTGAGTACAATTGTATTTATGATATTTCTGTTTGCAAATCAAATCAAAAAAATATTTTTTTGAAGCATCATTAGCAAAACCGAGGAAGGTGGGTCATAAGGCCCACACCTGAAACTACACGTGCCGGTGTAGGGCTGGATTGTGATATTATTCCCCTTAATTGGAATGAAATTGGAACCTTTATGGATTGGAAAAGTCAACCCACACGGCATATGTGGGAAGGAGGCCTAGCTGATCGGGTGGAGATCAGACGCCATGTTACGCACATGGTGGTACTACTCTTGGTAACAACTTTCTTTCGCATCACCTGTCAAACCACATTGTCCGTGGGGAGATGGCCTAGCCGATCGGGCGTGATCGGACTCCGTGCTAACAAAGACGGTGGTATATCGGTGCTAATGATATCCTAACCAAAATTATATATGAAGTTCGTATTTTTAAAAAAATTTATGTTTTAACTGGACGTTTGGATATTGTTGATTGTGACTTGCTGTTTCTATGTGTTGCCTTTTCTTATATGAGCATTCTATTTTGAAAGAGGACTTTTAGCTATGCATACTAGTGCTATTCGACAGTACTAACGTCCCTTTTGCCGGGGGCGCTGCATCTTTAATGGATGCAAGTGGTTCTATAGTAGGCGACATTGATCAGTGATAGCAGTACACTCTTTTCAGCTGATTTGGTGAGCCCCACTTCATTTCGGGGTCATGTATCTTTTATTTCTCATGTACTGTATTTTGAGGTATAGCCGGGGCCTTGTTGTCGGCATTTTCATATTACTCTTCTATTGTACTTAGAGGCTCCGTAGACAGGTTGTGGGTTATGGTTGATGTTGGGAATTGAACTGGAAATATTGGTACTTGGAAATCATATTTTTCATTAATTCTATAAACTCGTAATATTTTAAAATTTATAAATGAAGCTGCTAATGGGAATGAAATGGAAGTTATTAATGAAATCTTTTCAGTGTTGATTAATGGAGTACATCTCATCTTTATTCATGAATGCGTTTGAGTAGAAGAAAATCTAACAGGCTTGCTCGGCCGGGTTCTCTCGGTTGAGCGTCGGTCGCGCTTCCCGAGTTTGGGGCGTGACAACTTTGGAGCTTCTTCATGTTGCAATAGAGAGAGGAATTATGAATTGTTTTCTAAGTGAAATTGAGATATATCTATGTTTATATGGCCCCACTAATGGCCTTGGGCATACGGGTCTTGGGCTGCCCCAAGACTTGCCCATCTCTATCCTTTTCCATTCCCTTTTAATTTGATCCACAAGCTCTAAGTAGGTGATGCACCTACTTGTCACCTACTTAATCAAGTAGGTAATACATGTTGGTTCTTTTTTTATTTTGAAACATGTGTCTCATCCTCGTTAAATAATTTAGACATGTGTCAAGTAGCTCAAGCAAGTAGGACGGAAAGTAAGTTGGTGAAGCAGGCACGTCGGGTAACAAAGCAACTCATTTTTATTTGTCCAAAATCTCTTTTCTCACGTTTAAGTGCATTCGTCCTCAACCTAATCGTGTGTATGTTGAATAGAAATACGGGATGTAATATCATTAGATTACTTTATATACTTTCAAAGAGGATCTCATTTCCGAGCTTACATCAATTGACTTACGATGTATTTTCACGTACGAATACATGTGATGTAACATACAAGAACATGGGTAGCAAGCGAATCACATGGCATATCCAGACAAGAATCAATGTATGATAACACATATGAATAAATAGATCCAGGATCAAACAATATCGAAGCATCTCTGTGGCACAAAAAAACATAGTTGTGATAATACCATCAAAAGCAACCGCCTCGATCCTACCTTGGAACACATAGCATCTGGCCTAACCTCCCCTAGACTAAGCTCCCCTTGTAGGACAGCCATGTCCTGGATGACCTCCACCTCGAGCTGGTTGAGCGAGCTGAATGTCAGGACCTCTTGTCCTTACCCTGCATCACCTCTCTAGTCTAGTTGCGGATGCACTCAATACGACGCGCTATCTCTATAACCTGGTGAAATGAAGCCCCGACTCTGCCTCTCTAGCCATAGCAAGGCGAATATTGGGTAAAGACCGTCAATGAATCTCCTTACTCTATTCTCCTTAGAGGGATTCAAAGTAGTGGCATAACGAGACAACTTGGTAAACTCATCTCACTCAATAACCGATATCGAACCCTGCTAAAGGTACTCAAACTGCCACCTTAGCTCCTCTCTCCTGGTGTGGGGCACAAACTTCTCCAAAACGACCCTAGAGAATTAGGACCAAGTAAGAGGAGGTGATCGTGCTGGTCTGCCCAACTCATAAAACGGCCACCACCTCTTGGCTGGGCCCTGTATCTGAAAGATGCTGAAGTCAACTCCATTGGACTCAACTAGTCCAAAATTGCACGGAATGTCATGACAATGATCCAAGAACCCTTGATCATCCTCTAAAGGTGTAGTATTAAAGTGAGGAGAATGCAACTTCATGAACTTATCTAGCCTATTTAACTCATCAGCTGACATCGCGGTCATCTCCTCATGCTACACAGCAATAGTAGGATAAATCCCCAAACAGGTAACACTCCGGGGGTCTGATAACCATGGGACATCTTCTCTAGGGTATGGGTAGCTGGAGTCTGCACTTCGCCCCCTGCCTGGGAAGTAGTTAGTATAGTAGGAAATGCCCCGACATGGGCCAAACTCTCGAACAACCTCACCATATGGAACAAAGCATCCTGAACAACTAGTGTAATAAGTAAACCCGGGGAACTTGAGCTGGTCCATCAGGCTCAGCATAGTCATGAACCTGATCCTCAATGTGAGCTACTGATGGCTCAATAACAACTGCTCAAGTAGGCCCCCTAGCTGTGGTGCGTGCTTCACCCCTATCTCTGCCTCGACCCCTACCTCTCATGGCCCTAGCCTAGGGTACCAGCGCCTCATCAGTTAAACCAGATGAATGCATCCTCACCATCTGCGAGAAAATAGTGCAAAGATTCAGACTTAGGGATAAACAAATTTGCACAACCGAGAATGAAAGAAAAATAAGTTTTCCTTAAAGCCCTATAGCCTCTTGAAGATAATTACAGATGTCTCCATACCGATCGGCTAGACTTTACTAGACTTGCTCATGACTCGTGAGACCTAAGCAACCTAGGGCTCTGATACCAACTTGTTACGATCCAAAATCCCACCTAAGACATGATGATGCCTAACACCGCTTACAAGGCAAACTAACAACCAATGTGCTTAAATAAACTTAAATAACAGTATTGAATAGTCTCAAATACAGAATAATATAAATAACTGAAGTCAAATAAAGGTACAACTGAAAAACCATCCCAAAATTTAGTGTCATCGAGTACATGAGCTTTATAGAATAAATAAATACAAGGTCTGAGTTAGATACAATACTGTCCGAAAGACTAAACAGTAATAACATGAAATAAGAAAAAGGACTTCAAGGCCTACGAATGGAATAACAGTGCTACCTCGAAATCTCCAAATCCGGCTCACTAGCAGCTACCACGATCAGCAACACACTACTGAAAAATTGGTCTACGGTAACGCTTGAAAAACTGTTGCCACAGACTGTCAAACCATTGCCATAGGGATATTGGAACGGTTTACAGCCCGTTACATCAGTCCGCGTGCCCATAGGTCTATTGGAACGGTTCTTGCAACGGTTTGCATTGCCGTGACTATAAATACGTCTATCGCAAGGGTTTTTCCTTTCTCTGTTGGAACGATTATTTTTTTCAATTGGAACGGTTTAAAACCATTACTATATTATTTATACAACGGTTCTTAACCGTTACCATATTATTTAAAGCAACACTTATGTAAACTATTGTTACGATTATGTATGGATATAACAACGGTTTCTTTAAGCTATCGTAACAGTTATATTTGTAATTGGAACGGTTTATAGATCATTTTGGAACATTTTATAGGACCTATTGCAACGGTTAACATTGTCTACTAGAACGTCATTTGTGTCCTATTACAACGGTTCTGGTAGGCTATTGTATTAGTTCAGTTAAAACCAAAATATAGCACCTGTTATAAATAAATATTTATATGTATAATAAATTATAATAACACTAAAATTTAAATACATCATAAAATGAAACAATTAATAATATAAAATTATCCATCAAGCAAATAATATCCATAAAGCAAATGTTCTACCCCAAGTGCATAAGTTTAGTACATTTCAAGAGAGTAAGTAAGTTTCAAAAATGTTGATAACAAAATATTCCTAGAACATTCATCTATAACAATTCAAAATTCATCTTAAGTAAGATCTAGTTCTTCTACATCATCCATTTATTGATCTACTCCATATATAAAAGAGGATAAATAAAGTTATTACCCTTCAAGAGAATCCTGTCTAAGAATACTCATAGTACAAATTGCCATGAAAAAAGAAAAGAACATGAAAACTCCAGAACCAACAATAGTAGTTGTAAAACAAAAAGAAACTACAACAAGAAGTTCAAGTCTTCCAAGTTGCGCCATGTTTGACCATAACAAATGGTGAAGAAACAACTTTTTGATCCGAATAGGACCTATATGGGCATCTGGAATTATTCTAATCACAGCATATGCTCAACAACACACATTCTCAGTTCAACAGGCAAAAACAATGGACAAACACTAAATAAATTCCTTCGAAATCCCAGCTGCATCGATGAGAGTCTTCACATTAACAGCAATGTTATGCACCATTTGCTTCTATGACCGCGTATTTGTGCCAATAGCACATAAATTCACTGGTCTAGAACGAGGCATATCGTTCCTTAGCAGAATGGCTATCGGGTTCTCTATTTCAGTTCTAGACACATTAGTAGCCGGATTTATAGAAGTTAAACAAAAAGAAGCAGCCTTAACTCATGGACTAATCGATAAAGGTAAGGCGATTGTTCCCATTTCAGTATTTTGGCTAGTGCCTCAGTATTGCTTACATGGTGTGGCTGAGACATTTATGTCAATTGGACATCTTGAATTTTTCTATGATAAAGCACCAGAGAGTATGAGAAGTACAGCTACTGCATTATTCTGGACATCAATTTCAGCTGGGAATTATCTGAGTACACTTTGGGTTTCATTAGTGCATAAATTTACTTCAGGATCTGGAGGATCAAATTGGTTACCTGATAATAATTTGAGAAAGGGAAAATTAGAGTATTTTTTATTGGTTAATCACAATTATACAAGTGATTAACTTGATTTACTATCTGTTTTGTGCAAAATTCTATACTTTCAAGCCTATTCAGGTACAAAAGACAGAAGATTAGGACTCTAAAAAAGATAGTATTGAACTTGTACATAGTGTTTAGTTTGTATTAGCATCTTGATTTAGAAGGTTTTGTAATTTTGGCCTATGTTTATGTCCTATTATATTGTAATAATTTTAGGTTAGTAGAAAAGAAAAGAATGGTATGCATAGTTGTAGTAGGTAAAGGAGAAAGTTTTGAGAAATATTTTTAATTGTATTGCTCCATATTAAGTATAAAAGACGAGCTTGAACAACTTTAGAATAATTCAAAGAGTCTTGACAAGCTTTTTGAAGATGTAGAAGCTATAAAAGACGAGCTTAAACAACTTGAAAAGCTTCACTCTCAACTCCACAACTCACACAAACAGAGCAAGACTCTGTACAATGCAAAAACTGTCAAAGATGTTAGAACAAAGATGGATAATGATATTTCAATAGCTTTGAAAAAAGCCAAATTTATTAAAGTCCGTTTAGAAGCTTTAGACAGATCTAATGCTGCTAATAGAAGTATAGCTGGTTGTGGCCCTGGTAGTTCTTCTTAAAGAACAAGAACTTCTGTTGTGAATGGTTTGAGGAAAAAACTTCAAGAATCAATGAATCAGTTCAATGAACTCCGGCAGGAGCCAGCCACCAAAAAAGGAAATAAGAATAAATTCAAATCCATTCCAAATTCAAATCGTGTTTCGTTGAGGAGTTCCTGACAACTGATTTGTCTACACAGAGTAATCATTTCCCATAAGGAAACTCAAACTCAACCTACTTTACACCCTTAAAGTGCACTGCCCGAAAAAGCAGGAACCCCAAACAAGACAACCAAGTTTGACACATAAGTCCCAAGTCCCAACCACAACTACAACCTCAACCATTGACTCTCAGTCTGTCACAGAGAAGTTGGATACCAATAATACCGAAATAGGCACATCTATAGGAAGAAAAAAGGATATTACCATATCCACTCAGACTTGACCAAACCAAAATCCCAAGCAAGGAAGGAGGAGAAGAAGAAGAAATAGACGAAGATGTATAACATTTGGTACGTACTAGCCTTGATTTTTACTACCAGCAGATGGTCGACTGTTTAGTTGAACATCAGCTTGTCTGCAGAGGAAGCTTCTACAGGTGAACGTGCATTGAACCTTAACATGTCAGGATCAAGTCGCAAATCTGGGTTCAAACGCTGAAGTCGTGCGATGACGTTCATTGTAATATTTTGTTCTATAGCATCCTTTTGTTCGTTCAACATTTCATGCATTCTTTGTTGCATCCTCTCCTCCATTTCCTCCATTTTCTGCTGCATCCTCTCATCAGTAGCATCTAAAGAAGATCCAAGATTCCCTTTTTGCCCTTTTAATACAGTCTTGGTAACCCCTCGTCCATACAATCTCACGCGACCTGAATGTTCAGGTCCCATGACTGATGCAAAAGCGTCAACAGAACACATTATGGACATAGGACAGAAACATTGATGATTTGAATTTTGATATCTTAACTACTCTCCTACTTACTAGAAACAATGGTAATGAATAATGTTACTATAGTGACTAAAAAAAGCTGATTACCACATGGCATATGGCCCATTCTCCCCCGCCAGTCTCACTCAAGAATATTATACCCTTAATGGGCTAAATTCACTTGCCAGGAAGAAAGTTTCTTAATGGATTTCTTCCATTTCATAAGACAACAAGCATTAAAGAAGCTTCTTCTGGAAATTAATATGAATAAGCTTAAAGTGCAAATATACTACTAGTTATGAAGATTTTGCTAGAATGAGATTATGAAACTTGAATAATCTGGGGAAATATGGATAAGATTGAAAATGGGGAAATGAGATTATGTGATGTTACATCAGAAAGACATAAACATACAAATGCCTATACATGCTTGAGGAACACACTTATTATAAACTTTAATTGGAGATAAATTTTAAGTAATATAAGCACTTGACAAATCCAATCAACAATCAAATCTATTATTACTTTTATTTCATACACAAATAAATGCCGTTATGGGTAATTAACCAGAATTTCGAAAACATCATAAAAGTTTCTTCATCATGTTTCCGAGAAAATAGTTATGATATTTTGACCAATCACATCTTTTTACATGGTAATCTACACCTACTTATCCCCAACCTTTGCTGGTGTTTCCACTTGAATATGCAAAAAGGACTTTTAGGGGTTCGTTTCTAGTGTTTGAAATAGTTTAAGGTTTCTCAAAGATGCTGCTTGCTGATTTTGTTTTAAAGTTCATTTCAGTGTTGTGAAGAGCGTGAAGCGAGGAAAAGCGACAAGCCCATTTTCACTTAAAGCAAGAAGCGAGAAGTGAGAAGCGAAGCTCTCGCTTTTTTGAAGTGAAGCGGAACTTAAAAAAAATATTAAAACAAATACTACACAGACAACCTATGTAACTGTAAGCAAAAAATGGCAGCAACTGAAATGAAAAACATTGGGCAGCATTTCGCTGCAATTGAAGAAGAAGAAGAAGAAGAAAGAAGAAGAATGAGAAAAAGAAGAACTGGAGGGAAAAAATATTTGGCAGCATTTCGCCGCTATTTTGAGACTGAAACAGTGAAAGAAGAGGAGGAGGAGGAGGAAGAAATCACATACCTGGGCTTGAACTTGATGAACTTGAATTTGAAAAGTGCAGAAAATGGGAACCCTAATAACACCTTCTACACTTCACAACATAGAACAACCAAGTTCCTGCTTCGCTTCGCTTCACGCTTTAAGCGCTGAAGCGAGCGCTTTTCACAACACTGGTTCATTTCTTACAAACATTAGAGTAATTCAGGTTTCTTATATAGTCTACGACTGATCCTAAATGTATTAGATTTTGACTGATGAAATCAGAGAAATAAATCAGAAGGTTCTACTAGAAAAACTATCACAACTTCCCATATTCTCTTGTCTTTAAATGTTGGTACCCAAATGATTAATATTGCTTCTGCAGGGCAATCTTATTCATCAAGAAAATATAGAACTCTATAAAAAGGTAAACCTCATTCGACAAGAGAATACAAAATTGAAGAAAAAGGTATTAATTTAAAGGGGAAGTTACCTATTCCAGATTTCTAAGCAAGGATGCGGAAGTGAACCGAATGGGGGTGTCCAGGCCACACATGTAATCAACAATGGATATGATGTACATGCACCAATCAGTCTCCAGCTAAACCCTGAGGATACAAAAGAAAGAACATGTGACTTAGGGGAACAAAGCATCTGAAGCCGAAAAAATTAAATAAAATAAGAACTAAGCCAGAAACAGAACACTCCAAACAGTTAATTGTGTTCACTTCTTTTGCACTACTTTATTCTTGATAAAAATAAAAAGAACTAACTACATAAATATATTGGTCATTATAAAATGACGGGACAGCTAAACACCATTATAAAATAAAACTCACACTTCATGTAGAGTTAGAGAAACAGAAAACCCCAACTAAAAAATATGAAGAACCTGATCATCAAAATCGACAAAAAATAAAGCTAGAGATCCTAACATCTTGCATTGCATAAATGCAGAGAACCTATTTCAAGCTCCAAGGCCTTGTTTGGTGGATTAATCCAAATACCAACAATTATTAAGCAGATTCTGAATTGATTAATTCTAAGTACTGTCGTTATTCTTGCATTGTTCAGCAACTATGCCACAATGTAATAACACTTCAATTCCGGTATTTTAGATCATACTTTTCAATTTTCATCTCAGCATATACAACATACATTATTTAACTGGAATATTTAGAGTGTTTTACAATTGGAAGGAATGATAGAATTTGCTATTTGTAATAATAAAAACCAACTACTCCATTACTTACCTCATTTATCCTTTTATTGGTTTTTCGTATCATTATAAGAGCTTTGACTAAATAAGAATTTAACAATTTAATCATTCAACCATAACCAGTCCAAAGTGGAGAAAGAAGTTAGACATAACAGATCGGTTCATTGTAATTCTCCTGAATTAGCAAAAGAGAAAATTCAAAGAACTATTCTTATTCTCAGAAATGTCAACTACATTATATGAGCATGAGATAACTCTAGATCACACACATGAGAGAAGAAAATGCAATTGAAAGAATTTACTGGACGAAGAGACTCTGAATGGTCATTCTCATAAGGACTAATCTTCTCTGCATAAGAAATGGCCTAGTGGTCACAAGGTCTCACTTAAAGAGACTAGATATTATAGAGTTGTTCACATATCACTTATCATTGACAACTTATGGTATCAATAAGAAAGGCAACTTTCAAGAAAGCTACCAATTACAGTTCGCTCAGACATAATGGTTGTTTCCTAAAGATATATTTTAACATAAATTGCACTTACAAGAACTTAAAGTAAAAATAATAACAGATCTGTAAACTGCTTAGCTGCATTTTGTATCTGTGTACTAATTAAAAAGATTGAACTTATATTATGGTGCAAGCTAATCACAATAAGGTTAAGTAATAGTAGTAAAGTATGAATATAATAGTCCCAATATATAAATGTTTAGGTACTTGCAGTATAAAGTTAGTTATCATTTGTTCACAAAATGTTGTAGTGTCAACATGATGTATATTCATAATTTTTTTCTCGATTCCACAACTATCAATTACTGCCTCATTAAATAACTCCTAAGTAGAAAGTATCTAATTATGTCATTTGGTTTAACTTGATTCAAATTATGTACTTATTCTTGGCAGATTGGTAATGCAGTGATTAATGATGAGACGGATACGAGAGGAATGTATGAATATTTTGCAAGTCATGCCCTGATTTCTGATGAACTTAAAGCTCAAATCCAGAAACAATGCAAGTTCACAGACAGTTCTGAATCAGATGAGTGCAAATTGGCAGGAAGTAAAGAAAATATATCTTATCCCCATCATGCATCCCATGCTTGTTACAACTCCAGTTAGTGGTATTAGTATCTATGATACTCATTCTACTGGAGGTGTACCTATGCATTGAGGCTAGACACCACTGCCAGGAAGGAAATGCAGTCACAATCTCCCACCCAAAGAACACTGCCTCAACAAATACTGCAGTCAGTTTTAACAAGAACAAGCCACAGTGGCCAATCCTCAGGCCTTAACATTGCAGATCCCCACCTGTTTTGGAACTCCCAGCTCCAGCACAACCCCTTAACCAAAAGAAAAATCAAGTTGCAAAACACAACACCTACAAGAACCTGATAGTAGCTGCTAATTCTTCTACAGCTGCAAACTCAACCTCAACACACACCTATAAATGTTGGGTATTCTCATTCTTCTACAGTTGAAAACTAATATGTTATAGGAGTAGAATTTCATGAAACTTGTTGGGTATTCTCATCCTATAAATTCACTTGCAAAACCTCATGGTTCCTCACTTTTCATTCAACAATTACTCGGTAGATTCGCAATGGCCCCACATAGAACCAAACCAGCTACACTTAATTTCGAGAAACACCAATTCAGAATGGTGATGCTCTCACAAACAATAAAAATATTAGCATTCAAGAAACAATAATCACCATTTTCTTATTGAGACAAAAGAAGTGATCTTTCGACAAATATAGAACTCAACTTCATTTTCTATGAAACCCTAAAAATGGAAAACATAAGGCCCAGCGGCGCGCAGGCAGTGTGGAAAACAGAAGGCATGACTGAGATCTTAAATAAAATAAATAAAAATGGTAGAATACAGTTGGAATCGTAATGAAAAATGTAGCTTACTGGTGCCGCCGATGGTGGTTTGTCTTCCTCGTCATCTCCGGCTAACTAATGAAGGCTTTTTGGGAGAGAGAGATCGGAACTTTTGAAGATAGCGTTTGTGTGCTTAGCTTCCTCGTAATCTCCGGTGTGTATATACGTATATTATTAGGTTTTATTATTTTATTAAATATTAAATATAAAATATAATAGAAGCGGGTCTCTTTTAGCGGGCTATCCAAAATTTGGGGGAAATTATAGAGGGAATTCATAACCGTTGCCTTACATTAAAATTATAAATAACCCTTACCATAGATAAACTTATTGCTACGTCCAAAAACGTTGCTATGGAAAATCTACTGTAACGGTTTTTAGACTAATGCAACGGTTTAGGCGCTAAACTGTGCCGATAGTACCAATTACCTTACGCAACGGTTGAAACCATTGCAACAAACCATCTATAGCAACGGTTACAGAACCGTGGCAATAAAAAGCGTTGCCATAACTCTAATTTCTAGTAGTGACACCTGGATCTGCAGATGAAGTGCAGAGTGTAGTATGAGTACAACCGAGCCCATGTACTCAATAAGTACAAAGCCTAACCTCGGACTAAAAGAAGTGACAAGCTTAAGGTCCAATACTCTTTCTCAACAGCCAACAACAACATAAATAGTCTAAAAATAGCAAAAGGAAAAGCAGCTCGATAATATCAGATTCAACTCTATCACATTGAGAGGAAAATAGCATGCTTTCCAAATATATTAGTCAAGGTATCGATTTAAAAGACATCAAATATCAAATAGCATGAAAAAAATACAACTTTAAGTTGGGACAAGAAATTTCCCATTTAAACATAAAAAGCTTTTCCCTATTACAGGTACTGCAATGAGAAGAACAAAACCAATTATGATCAAACAATTTTTTGACGCCATAAGTATTGTTATCCAAAAATGTTTCATCATTTCTTTTGTTATTTAACTATGACATTCGCAGAAACAAAAAATATAGAGGAAGTCTTAAATACGAAAACTTTGAAAGAGAAGATGCGAACCAGGAATCATAAAATATTGCTCTAATACCCCTGTAAGAACAAATTATAAAGCAAGAACAATGAATTTTGTATTTTTTTAGCGCATCGAAAGAATCAGTGAACTCACCACCAAAGTAATTGCCCCAAGTCGAACTTGGTCTCCCTCGGAAATATAGTCAAATCCCACTAACTAAATATCTTTATTGTATTTGGACTTCGTGTGGACTGTGGAGAATGAGAAAATTTTATAGATCAATCTCTTTGTTGAACAAAAGAATTTTGTACCTAGAGAAGTTTTTCTACATAATAGTTTTCATGAAGAACCGCTTCAATCCTAAATCCCATTTTGTTTCTCTACTATTAATGTAGAGGTAGTTTTTAGGAGTAAAATAACTCTCTGGTAACTTCCCTCATGTCTATCTTATTTAAACGGGTCGGGTCGGCTCAAATCACATGGGCGATCCATGACCCAATATTCAATAATTTAACATTAGATTCAAGAAAAGTCAGTTTAAGAAGTTCGTAATCCATAGGAGAACATATATGTTATTACACTATATTTATTATTGTTACTAAATGTCAATCCAAAATTCCACCAAAAGCCGTGATGGCGCCTAATATTCTAGCTAGGCAAATCAGCACTCAATTATCATCACAAAATCCAATTATTAAGTCATTCACTGTTTTCACAATACAAATTAACAAAGCGAAAATAATTTCAAACCAATAACATGAGTACATAATCCGTGGCATGATCTAAACATGAAGACAAATGTTTAATCAAATGCCCAAAACCCGGTGTCACTACATCACGAGCATCTAATAAGAGTAACTAGAGTCAACTGAATAAATACATCTGAACGAAAAAGAAATACATGAACAGAAAATAGATAAGTAGGGAAGGAGACTCCATGTGCAATGAATCAGATCGAGAATAGTAGCTCACCATGAAGTCTCCAATATAGTGCTCCTACTCAACTCAAAGGTACCGCTAATACCAGTCTCAGAACCTACACAAAAATATATCGAAGTGTAGTATGAGTATAAAACTGCAGTACCCAGTAAGTATCAACTCTAACCTCGAAGAAGTAGTGTCAAATGGTCGACATCGACAGTCACTATCCATCCAATAATCAGGTAAAGCATAAATAAAAACATGAAAAATAAGCATGCTATCATGTAATAAATACGACAACACAAAGAAATACATGTCATAAATTTAGGCATGCTTAGTAGATAAGGAGAGCAATTAAGACATCAACACCTCGATCGACATACCAAGACATGATCTATGTCAACAACATTTATATCAAATCACTGTATAAGTCAAAAATAAGTACATATGCATGCTCATTATCTAATATCAATGTATGTAAGAGCCAATGCATGAGTCCAAGTTGTCACGACCCAAACCGATGGGCCATGACGGGTACCCGGCACCTTACTTAATCGAGTACCAACGTAACGTATATTTCGTATGAAGACCCAACATGATATAGAATTTTATGCAAGTAACATACGGGCCTATAAGACCGACATGATCATTTATACATTTAAAACATAGGCCGACAAGGCCATACAATCATTCATATACATGCCATATGTCTACAAGCCTCTGAGAGTACATAAACATCATAAGGCTAGGACAGGGCCCCGACATACCAATCAATACGTGTCCAATGCATACTGATCAAATAGGAAACTGCGGAGCAAATGGAGCGCACTAACATCTTCCACTGAGCTGATAGCCTACTTGGAGGACTCTCGACCTGTCTATCGGGACCTGCGGGCATGAAATGCAGCGTCCCCAGGCAAAAGGGACATCAGTACAAATAATGTACCGAGTATGTAAGGAATAAAAATCGGTAAACAATATACATGAGAGAAACATGGAGTAAACGACTCAACATGTAAGTATGAATAGCTCTGTAAATCATTTCATATTTATAATGTCATGCATATGCATATGAATGTCATACCATGCATAGGTATATGCGTTCATAATATTATCAAGCCTCTAAGGGCATCCCATCATATCATCTCGGCTACTATGGGCAAATCATCAATGTATACCAGTTGATCAGGTGGTGGTGCGTATATAACACCGTAACCTTTTCCCATATCCCATATACATATAATATACGGGTATATAACACTATCTGGTCATGGGTTAATGTACATGTATAAATGCATGAAGTGCATAAGAAATGCGTTAATAAGATTTATCGGTATGTCATAAGATCAATATGCCTTTCGGATAAACTTTATCAAATATGTATTTTTCTGAGACCCATGGACAGAATATAGAATAATAATTCACATGGGGAATCAAGAATATAGACACCCCTAGTACTTCTATGAATAGAGTCATTTATGAAAATGGTGCGTTTATACGTTTCGTTTGTATCGTATGGATCATGCCAAAAAGAATGAAGGGATAGCCTTAACATAGCTGAGCCGATTCTCTTGACAATCCCTCTAACACACGTCAATCGCGATAAAACACGTAACGGCGAGATCAGAGTACGGGAAAATCCGTATGATATTCTTGAGAAAGATTGTACCGGGCTCCCTTGAAATTTTCAAATTCACACTGCCATTACATATTGACATCTTCGTATGAATTTGATGATGTTTCCCTTCATTATCTTGTAGAGATACAAGTATCTCTCTTAAGTGATTTTGAAAGGTTGAAGCAACTCACGTTGCGAAAGGATAATGCAATCCCATATGGATTTTTGTTGTAGCTTCATCCGTACCTTATTGTTCTCAAAGTGTAACACCATTTGATACACTATTTACCTAACCTTGGGGATTAGAGATGGCATTCTTCAACAAGAATGATATAAAGGTACACATAACTTTAAATGTTGCCACCACCTACTTAAGGTTATGAATTGGTGGCAATTTGCTGCCAAGTTTCCATAAATCCCACGTGGATGTTGTCCCCCCTAACAATTATCCAAATCTCATTTAAATAATTATTCACAAAATTTAATTTACAAGTTAATCTCCCACTTAAAAATCCATAATTATCCAATTATCCACATAATCAAGAATTATCTCAAATTACTTAAAATACTACTCACTTTTAACACATTTTATACACCTCACTATCATGGTCATGTGGTACCTTATATGACACTAGTCCATAAATACCGGATATTATAGCTTGGACCGTATTTTATACTAAATTGTCAAATTTTGACGAAACTCATTTCTTCGATTCGCTTACCTTCTCACCATCACGAATTTACTTATCACCTGTTTGAAATAGCGTAATACTTATAATCTCAAAATAATCTCATTCCCGAGCTTACGTCAATTAACTTACGATGAAACTTTAACGTACGAAAATACGGGATGTAACATCTCATTTTCGATTATGAAAACCTCGTGTGTTGTGCTTGCATTACTTTCACTTCAGATTATGAAAAATGTGTTTGGAATTGAGATTTTAAATAAATTAATTGATGGTAAGAAATTGGTATTACAGACATGATCACTTTATTGGTTGATTAACGAAAACATATATATATATTCTCTTTATTCATGAATGAGTTTGGGTAGAAGAAAATCTAATAGGCTTGCTCGGCCAGGTTCACTCGGTTGAGCGCCGGTCGCGCCCCTCAGATTTGGGGCGTGACAAACTTGGTATCAGAGCCTAAGGTTTTAAAGTGTCTTAGGATGTCTCGGAGCCATGTCTAGTAGAGTCCTTATTATCGATGTGTTGTCGACCACATCTATAATTAGGATGCTACTTGGGCATTTAGGAATAATACCCTTCTTTCATGTTCTTGATCGTGCGATAAAGCTGGTTGTAAGATTGTTCCTCTTTTAACTCATGCGTTGCTCTAATTTTCAGTACATGGAACCTAATAAGAAGTGAAAAACTGGCCAAAGAGCCAATGTCACCCCAGGAGTGACAGTTGACCCTATAATTGATGATGCGGGTGAGCACCCGAGGAGTGAGAATATTCCTCCAGTTACTACACTACCTGATTCTACCACAGCTGATCAGACTACATCTATCCCTATACCTACTAAAAGTGCAACAGTTCCTCCAACTGATATTCCAGTTCCACCTCCAACTCCAGCTTCCGATTCCGGTGTGTCTGATATTGATATTAGGGGAGCCATACAAATGTTGACACAGATAGTGGCTTCTCAGGCCCAGAGGTCGAGTGTTGGGCCTACTTCTTCTAGTCATCCAGGGGAATCTGCTAGTTCCAGGGTGAACAAGTTTCTTCAGTTAGATCCTTCAGTGTTTACGGGTACTGATCCCGATGAGGACCCCCAGGACTTCATTGTTGAGATGCAAAATGCTCTCCGGGTTATGCATGCTACAGAGACGGGGGGAGTAGAGTTGGCCTCCTACCGCTTGAAAGGGGTGGCCTATTCTTGGTTTGAGTTGTGGGAGGAATCTCGTGAGGAGGGAAGCCCTCCGGCAAGGTGGGGTGAGTTCATAGATGCCTTTATGGATCATTTCTTGCCTGCCGAAACTAAGGCAACCCGTGTCGCTGATTTTGAAAGCCTGAAGCAGGGTAGTATGAATGTGTGGGAGTATCATATGGAGTTTGCACGCCTGTCCAAGTATGCTATTCACATGTTGCCCACTATGGAGGCTAGAGTGCACCGGTTTATGTTGGGCCTTAGCCCCTTGGTTATCAATGAGGCCTCTATAGATGCCTTAAATTCCGATATGAACTATGGTAAGATGGTGGCATTTGCCCAAGCCACAGAGACCCGCAAATTGAAGAATAGAATAGAGCGTCATAGTAACAGCAAAGCCCGATCCGCGGGCAACTTTGGTGGTTCTTCTGGTGGTGGTGGTGGTGGTAGGTCGGCATTCAGGGGAGCGTCATCAGGACCATCCCCATCATTCGCCCAATCTTCGATGGGTGCACAGTCATCTGGACCCAGTCAGGGCAACAAGGGACCCCACCAGCAGGGTCGGCCCGACAAAAGGTTTCAGCAGCGAAGGCTTCCATGCCCTATATGTGGGAGGATGCACTTTGGGTCCTATTTTATGGACCTACCAGTATGCTATGGGTGTGGTTTGAGGGGTCACATTCAGAGAGATTGTCGCTCGTCCCGCCGAAATATGGGCAGAGGTGCGGCACAACCAGCTAATTCTGCAACTACTACATCCACAACACCTCTAGCTCGAGGCACCCTAGCACCTACAGGGCGTGGTGCAGCTAGGGGTGGTGCACAAAATTTGGGAGGACCCAGTAGATTTTATGCTATACGGAGATGTCGGGAATCAGAGGCTTCTCCAGATGTTGTCATAGGTATATTGAATGTCCAATCCCTTGATGTATATGCTCATATTGATCCCGGTTTAACTTTGTCATATGTCACTCCTTTT